AAAAAAAAAAAAAAAAAAAAAAAAATAGAGACCCAACTTTGTTCCGGAGGTAAAACAAAAATAGCTCGCAGCTTATACAGCCTTTGGAAAACTCATCACCATGCCACTGCCATCCGTCTTTGAAAAGTATGAAGAAGTTCTTAAACACGTTTTCGACCAAAAAAAAAGGGAATTCTTAAACACGTATTGTTTTGAGGGCCCGTTGCCGTCTCACTGGTCAATCACGTTTTCCCTTTTCCCACACCACAGAAAGATGAAAAAAAAATCTTTAAACTTTAAAACGCACTTATTGTCCATTGCATTTGTTTCCCATTCGATTCATACCATTCATATGTCGTCCCACCCCAGGGTTGAGCTTTTCGAATAATTTTAACGTTTCCCTTCATCTTTTTCATTAAAAACCGAATTTCTATTTAATGATTTGTTTCTTAACTTTCTTATTATTTTATCCATATCAGGTGATAAAATTTTATTAGATTAATAGAAATAATAGTATTAAAAGAGTCATCCCAATAACAATATGATATATATGAGTAAAACTTCTCATGTGACCTAATCCAACGGAAAAGCTGAAACGATCCGCAGAGAATTCACATTTATTTTCACTTTTTTAATCCTTTAAACTAGAAATCTATTCTCACTTATTGTCATTTCACATACAAATTTGTGGCGTGCTGATACTTCAATGGTTGTACAAAATAACGGGGTTTCATGCAGCAAAAAGAAATAAGCTCTCTCATGAACTGAATTCTTTTGTGCATTAATACAAAATTACCATTGGTATGTTTCAAGGCACATTGTGCTGAGTCATTTTTAAGAGATTATTTGCCCCCACTAATAGTATGTATGATTTACTGAAGTGCAGTAAAATACAATGAAGAAAGTACATCAACTTTTTGCTGCATTATAATGCACTGACGAATCCCCAAGTAATCAAATCCCCCAGGACTATCATGATTATCTCCACCCACCATCATATTCTGCACCCAGCTGCTTTTGTGAGTTTAACATCTAGTTAACAAGGAACTCCACTAAAGATGAAAAGTTTGAAAGAAAATCTATGAAGAAACAGAAGAGGTTGATAAGGTGGACTTATAATATTTGCTGAATGCTGGTCATGAACCTTTGACATTTTCAAGAAGCAGCATACAGTGAAAAGTGGAAAGCAAAGAATGGTCCATGGATGAAGAATTCAAAGCTAAAGAGAAGAATTCAAATGGAATGACAAAATAAAGAGTCAAATTCGTAATGTACAACAGATTACAGAAAATCTACTCATCCCAATTTTTTCTTTTAGGTACTCGGTATGATCATTGTCGCTCTTTCAACAAAATCTAAAATTTTATACCAACACAATCCATTATCATGTTCTTTCCGGGTGGATTAACAAATTTCACTGAATTGGTGAAGCATTATATGATGTGTTCAAAAACGACCAACAAGTAAAATGTTGTTCTCCTCCTGCCCCAAATGATCCATTCTAGTATTGAAAAAAATTTGGGCATTTCTGCAATTGCGGGAAACTGAGAGTGATCATCACCAAGAATATCCAGAACATTATGAAAAATATAGGCTTTGATGAGCTTACAAACTTATTTGGATATCCAATTTGAATGTTGGACAGCCATATTATGCATTCATACAGCACAACTAGTTTTTGCATTGGTCATAGATTGTAAAGTTGCAATCTTTACATTCTTTGGATTGCTTATGGCATCATACATCAAATGAAAGTAAGCTTTCATGAACCAAATTCTTTACCTTCATAGCAGTCCCAGACAACTCATTGAAAATCCTCTGGAACTCCTCCAACACTTCTTTCACAATCCCCACCTTATTTTTCCTAACCAGCATCTTCACTAAACCCACCAAATGCCTATTGAATCTCCCTTTCTCAGCCACCAAGTTCACTACTTGGCCCTTTTCTTTCTCACCCACAAAAGGGTTGGCCAAGGCAGCTTGGACTTGCTTATTGTGGAGCAATTTCAAGAACCTCTGAATGTCCTTCTCAACCAAATGAACAGAACTGTTGCATTGAGCTATGTCTAGCAGAGCAGCGGCATACCCAGTTGCTGGTTTTCTATGGAGATCAGAAGATGATGAAGAATTGAGAGAGAGGGTTGCAGAGGAGTTCAAGAATGAGGGGGTTGAAGATAAAGGGACAAGCTTGTGAGAGAAAGAAGGGGTTTTGTTGGAGATTAAGTTGGGTTTGGTGGTGGAGTGAAGGTGGGATTGTGGAGGAAGTTTGTGTGTTCTGGGACTTTGACGATTGAATTGATGGAGCTCACGAGATGATGTTGATGAAAGAAGGGTAGGGATTTTGAGGGTTGAGACAGAGCTTGACAGGGTATCCATGGAGGAGAGAGGAAGAGGATAAGTTTCAGGCTTTCAGGTCAGCCACTAAATGTCAACAAATGGAGATGAACTGCCTTGAAAGCAATTTCTCTGAATTATTATTTGTGATTCAAATTGACTTGAACGTTGCAGGCTTGCAAGCCGCAGAGTAAAACTTTGGAAGTTGGTAAGCTGTGAGGGCCCACTAACAGATAGGCCATTAAGCAATACCATCAAATTCAGCCCAGCCCAGCCCAGCCCAGCCCATTCCAGCCCATAAATCAAGTCGTATATTGGTGCTCGTGGAACACTTTTTCTTACATGTAATTTCATATTTGGGTAAACTTGTAAGGAATATTTTGCAAATGTGCTGGAAAAATTGTGGATACTAATTTAGCATGGAGAGGAGAAAAGCAGGAAAACTGCAGCTAATCCCTTGAGTGGTAGCGAAATTATCCCAAAATATATATTTTTTAACATCAAAAGACCGTTTGAGAAGTACGTATTCAATTATAGTTAAAAGTTAAGCACATAAATCTTAGTATTCAGCTTTTGACTGACAGAGTTAGCCCAAATTATGCACAGCACAAAGCCATTATACTTATATACTATATGATTTAATAATGCACTATGCTTAAAGCATTTGAAAGAGAGAGAGAGAGAGAGGGACAGCCATTATTTTCATTTCTAGCTCTCTCTTTCCCTCCACCTGTTATTGACAACCCTGTCTTGTCTTCTCCTCTTTTTCTCAATCTTTTTCCTTTTTACTTACTTACTCCCACTGACATCCTAGACTAAATAAAAGACCCAGTCTTCCTAGTCCAATTTCAAAAGAAAAACAAAGAGAGAGAGAGCACTATATATCGTCTTTTTGATCATTGATTGTTAAGTTGTGCTGTGAAAATGAACCAAGAAATGAATGGGGTTGAGGCTGATCAGATTCAGAGGGTTGCTCAGGAGATTAATGGGCAAGAAAAGATAGACTATGTGTTCAAGGTGGTGGTTATTGGAGACTCAGCAGTTGGGAAGACTCAGATTCTGTCCAGGTTTACTAAGAATGAGTTCTGCTTTGACTCCAAGTCCACAATTGGGGTTGAGTTCCAGACTAGGACTGTCACCATTAAAGGCAAACTCATCAAAGCCCAGATCTGGGATACTGCTGGCCAAGAAAGGTTTTATAAATCTCAAGCTCTCTCTCAACTTTTTTTACTCGAATTTGAATGGTGATTGAAGCTTAAGCACTATTGTATGTAATGTATGGAGAATGTTGCCTTCTCAGACTATCTGACAGCATAATAATAAAATGATTATGTTGTTACTCTGTGAATCCAAACTATTTTAATTTTATTCAGAATGTGTGGTTCAAATTCATGATTTGACAACATAATCAATTGTTCGACAGTGTAAGTATGTGAAGAGAACATTACTACCTAATCCATAATCCACATTACTATGGAAGCAGATGTAACTGTTCAAGCACATTCATATAATACTTTTTGGTTTAAAACTTGTGCTCTGTATAGGGTATATGAAACATGAATTATGAATATATGATTAGAGGTTTTAATGCAGTGTATATGTGACATAATCAACATTTGTTGGTAGTTACCTCATTATGTGATCAAAATGTGCAAAAATAAATTAAAAGGAGCCTTCCCTGTTGGTGGATTTGGGATCTAGGTCTAGCTAGTGGCACTGTGCCAAATGAAGATAAGACCAGCTTCCCAGCTTTTGTGCTTTAGCTATCAATGTAGTTTTGCAACATGACAAAAAATGAGTTAATTAGTATGAGCCCATACTTACAGACATGCAGGCTTCTTCTTCTTTTTTCTTTCTACTTTTCTCTAGATGACAGACATGAATGTGCACAGGGATCTGTATAAACGTTAAACAACCTGATTTTATGCTGGTACTGTTGTTATGTACTGAGCTCTCTCTCTCTCTCTGCATATCAGCAATTTCAGCAACAGCATTAAATGTACTGCAAAAGTGCATTCAAAACTTGCTGCTATAGAACCAATCTCAAAATTAAATCTGTGGGACAAAGTGTTGGTTGATCTTATTTATTAGATTCGGACAAGAATTGAGAAAATTTACAGACAAATAAACTTAAAGAAGAGCATGTTTGTTGTTGGTCCTTGTAGGTATAGAGCAGTAACAAGTGCATACTATAGAGGTGCATTAGGGGCAATGCTGGTGTATGACATTACCAAGAGGCAGACCTTTGATCATGTTGCTAGGTGGGTGGAGGAACTCCGGGCTCACGCCGACAGTTCGATCGTGATCATGCTGGTTGGGAACAAAGCTGATCTTGGGGAGCAGAGAGATGTGCCCACAGAAGATGCAGTTGAGTTTGCTGAGGATCAAGGGCTGTTCTTCTCTGAGACATCAGCCTTCAGTGGTGAAAATGTGGACACTGCATTCTTTAGTGTCCTAGAGAAGATATATGGGGTGGTGTCTAAAAAGGCATTGGAATGTGGCAATGGAAACAAATCCAATGGGGTTGATCTTAAAGGAGCTAAAATTGATGTTATTTCTGGGTCTGAGTTGGAAATTAGTGAGATGAAGAAATTGTCTGCTTGCTCTTGTTGATCTAATTGTATTAGGTGAGGGGGCCAGTGGTATAATTTTTCAACTTGTTTACTGCCACATCAAGGATGAGCCATTTATGTTTTCTTTTCTTTCTTTTTTGAATTTGTTTGGTTTGGGGTAACAAGTAAAAAAGAGGCTAAAGGCCTTGAAGGGAAAAAGTAAGTGTCAAATTCTCATGGCGAAATGTGAAATGTGGGGCAAGTAATTTATCACTGGAGTTATAAGTCTTCTCGATTGTAATATGATTGTAATTATCATGATTGGTCTTTGAATTTAATTTTTCTTTATATACAAAAGCGATATTGAAAGAGGGGGACTCAAATACAGGATCTCAAATACATGAATAATTATTCTTAATCACTTAAGCTCTTCCATTTCCATTTGAATTTCAATTAAGAGCTTAACAAATGAACACTTATTGCATATGGCAGAGATACACAACATGGCATTTTGCATGATATGCCAACAAAAGATCCGTACGGTACTTGATTGGTTGGGTCGGGCGACCCACCTCAGTACAAAAGAGAAGTTTTGTAGGTGAACTGTCAAATGTGGACCTTGGCATTGGGTGGCAGGGCCCGAACCATTGGGCCTTCCTTTCTTTCTTATCAGAAGCTGGGCCCTGGTCAAGTAACTCGCTTTTTTTAAAAGGTTGGAGGAAGCAATGAAACGGTGCGTTTTGAGGTGGCTCAAGGTGTGTAAAACGACAAGTCGTCCTTCGTTTGATGGAAAATATTAGAGTTGGACTGCATTGCATTATTTGAGCGCATTGCACGAATGCTGAATGGTCTTTTCCATGTTTGGGGTTTGCATTGTATTTTAACTCCATAAGTTTGAGACTTTGCCTTCCGAAAAGAAGAGGTGGGTTTCTTATAAACAAATAAATAAATAAACGTGTAATGTGCAATATATTTAACTGAACGATACATGTCACTCAAACACTAAATTTATTTACTTAGTGGGAAGCGCTTTTCGTCAAAATTTTCTCCGACCCAAGACTGTTACATGCCACTTAAAGGGTGTCAATCTACCTCACTTGAGCCTGTCAAGCAACAAATTACCCACCAAAGAGGCTAAAAGAACCTAAATTACACAGCTTGAAAACAATAGTGCCCCATCATCTTCTTTCTTTTTCGTTTCCTTTTGTCTTTTTGGGCAACAAATTAGGGATTTGTATTCACCAAGGTAGTGTAGGTACAGAAAAATCTACAAGCATCACCCAAAAACATCATTTTCTATCAAATTTCCTTTCTTTCTCTTTCTTTCTTTTTGCTGGCAAAGTTGAAGAAGTTTGTTGAGCTAGCCCATCTATCAATCTCCAAAAGGAGCATCAAACACAATCATGAGTTAGGTTATGGGCAGCAAACTCAAAAGCAGAACAACATATCATATAAAACAAGGTTATAAAATTGGAAGGAAATCATTTTCCTTTTGAAGTATCTTGCATAACATTTATGATACAACCCTTGCTTAGCTTAAGCACTCATTATATCCCAACCACTTAGGCTTTAGCAATAATGATGCCTTACCTTTTGGTGTAAAGTTTAACATCAAGTTCATGTAACTTATTTATTTACTTATAAGCTTTAATTGGTATGACATCTCACTAGAAAATGTATGTTTTCATGAACTATTGTGGCATGATTTTTTGTTATCATTGATGATTTATGGCTAAAAGGCAAGGTAAAGTTTGATTTATTTGAAGCTAACAATAATTTTACGATATACCACCTTCAAATTGGGCCCGTGAATTATAAGGAGTGTATGATGATATTTTTAGAATGTGAATTATATATTCGAATAATTTTCACTTAGAGAAATTATCACACTTCTTTTAAATATAAGTAGTATTAAAAGAGGGCAATTTGATAAACACTCTTAATCATTTGATTTACATATAAACCCTTTTTCATTACCATATATTTGAATAATATTTTTTTTAAATGACTTAATTGTAGCAATGGTCCTTGAACTATACCCATAGTTACATTTTCATCCCTCAACTCCAAAAATAGTTGTAGAGATCCCTCAATTATGTATCGTGTTGCACTATTGGTCCTTTCCGTTAAGTCTGTTTATTTTTTCGTTAAATCCATGGGTAAACTTGAAAATTCATTCCAAATATTTATAGAAACAAAATAACAAAAAATAATTAAATAAAACTAAAACTAAAATAAAGAAAAAGGAAAAAAGAAAGACAATTTGATTGCTTCTCCTCCCTTGTACCAAACTCACCACCCAATCCTTCCTCCCACCCTGACCCAACACTGTCAACCATCAACCATAAACTATAAACATCCATAAATGTAAAATTATAGTAATTACCCATAAAATAAAGAAGAGAGAGAGAGAGAGAGAGAGAGAGTACTTCATGCCTTCTCATGTGAGCTCATTGGAGATCTCCATTTAAGAAAAAAAAACTTATTATAGTTGTTTTGTTTGATTTTAGGTTTTTAAAGATTTTGTGGGATAAAAAGGGGTAGGAGGAAGGGGGAGGGTTGTGGTGAGAATTGGGGCTGGAGTATTTTGAGGAATACGGGCTGGGGATGGGTGCCTAGCGTGACAGAGAGGGTTGCAGCAATAGAGGAAGATGAGGGTTGTGGATGAATTTCAGAATTTATCCTTATTTTATACAGAAAATTTAACAAAATTTGATGGAAGAACCAACAACGCAACACGATACATAATTGAAGGACATGTGCAACTGTTTTTTAAATTAAGGGATGAAAATATATAATTCAAAGACCATTACTACAATTAAGCCTAATAAAATTCCTTGAATTGTTGTGGGACATGCATAGGGTGGCAAAAGGAGTAGGCTTGATCATGCTGTCTGGAGCAATTTGGTCCACGTCCATATCAGGCATAACATCGAGGCATTGAACTTTTAATTGATGAGATAAAAGAACCCAGCTGGCCTGTCTCAGAACATACCTGAACTGATACCCCTTATAATTGCAATATATATATTTGCCAGATTCATGTCATATAATGATGAAGTCGTCGAAAGTAAGTAAAATCAACATAAAATGAATTGGTTAATTATTTTGATTTGGAATTTTTATGTATAAATTTAATAAATAAAAAATCAATCATGAGACAACATTTTGCAAATAAATTTTGTATTATTGGTGCAAATTATAGTCAGACATATATATATACATGAATGGAGATGATCGAAGCTGCGAAATTCCTTCTTGTAAAGTGCCATATTGCCAAAAGTCGTCTTTCTATTTTGCTTTTTCATATTTTTTCGTGTGTTATCTACGCCTATCATCCTATTTATTTTTGTAGGGTTAACATCCTATTTATTTATTCGTCATAATTTAGAAAGTTGCTTAAATTGTTGGTCAAGGACGATTTGGCCAACTTTCATACCAAGTTCATAACAGGACTTTTGCTTTTGGAGGCATCGCATAAATCAGCTTCTCAAGAAAAGAAAAAAAATCATGACTGGTATGAAGCACATTAAACTACACAAAGAGATGACTAATCTTTTGTCATATATATAGTGTATATGTAGTATGTTAGGTAAATGGTAACGATCACAATTGGCACATTCATACATAATTTTAAAAGGAACTTTTACTTTTTTGTCAATCACAGTTTGACATGTGTGTGGAGATTTTTCTTTTTGTGGTTTTCATGAATTATTTTTCCATATGTGTCAAAATGTGATTTGTAGGAAGTAGGAATGCCTCCTTCCAGGGAAGGAAGGAAGCAGTGTCCATTTTAAAATACACACAACTTAACAACATAATATATAAAATAGTTCCACAATAATAGCATACTTTCACACCTTTGTGTATCTAAAATGAAAACAACTTATGTTGATGTTCAAAAATGGAACCAACTTCGAAGTGATCCACCCTCGGTCACGTGCGCCCTACGGTAGATGCAAGGTGGATATGCAAAGATAGAGCAACGGTAAGGCACTAGGCACCGGTTTTGGGGCAAGAGCTCAATTTATAGAGGAGAGAGGTGGACCACCATGGGTTATAGTTTCGTTACGAGACTTCTAGACATTCTCCGAGAGGCTGCTGCATGTCCCCACATAAAAGTAGCACGACAGGTACCCTTGTTGAGCTGAATCGACTGGTGAAGTTGCCGAAGGCTATCCCCTGCCGATGGTCGTTGTGAGTTCTAGTGATTGAGCTGGGTTAGGTGGGCCATTTGTTCCACGTGTTCTAGTTGAGAGGGTCCGGTCAGATATGGTACAAACAACTTAACAATAAGTATTTGACAGACACAATTTTCCCAATAAATTTACAATCCTCATTTTATATAGAAGAAGAAACAACAAAAAAAAAACTTGAATCTCCCACAACCACTTCTCAATGATTTGGAGAATCATTTTGAGAATTGACTAGCAAACGAGTATTAACTTACCATTATTTGAGGAAACAAATGAAGACGATGAACCAGTTGTCCATGCGTAATTGCTATCCATTTCCTTCACTTACTATTGTCATATAAATAAATATCATATGTTAATTCTGATTTCAAATTTTTGCTTTCAAAATTTTGGCTGATTCTGCGATTAAAGACAAAAATGACTTGAAAAGGAAGCAGGATCGTATACCATCATGACCAATGATGAGAACATAAAAAAAAAACAACCTTTAAAATTAGCAACAAAGAAAAAGAATATCATTTTGCACAAAATAGTCAAATGCAGTGACATCACTAATACATTGTTTGTTTTTGTCACTTGCAGTAGCTTAATCTATTTTTCTTTGAATCTTTCCATTTCTCTTCAATCATACCCCCGTGAGTAATTGTATTACTAATTTGTAAATATTATAGTAATTACTATTTGTCATATAAGATTTAAGGTTAAAAATAAGGTCAGAGTGTCCATTTGTGAATACATTGACTTTGTTAAGCATAATTTGATTGCTGATTTTTTGGTGTTATACATTACTAATTTTGCATCTTGGTTGGTGTATGCTTGGATGGTAATAAAACTTCTTTAGATGGGACTCCAATTTGGCCTTTTGTTGTTTGAATCTCGACATGATACGACTAAACTAACCGTTATGTCTGGTATACAATGAATTTAACAATTGTACAACGCGGACTTGCAACTCAAGTGGTTAAGAACAGCTATTCCTATCCCTGAATTCATGTAAATATTGGATTCCATTTCCCTTTCTGTAATTTATGAATAGCTAATTTTTTTCAGAAAATTAAAACAATGTCATTTACATGTGTATCAACAAAGGGCAGTGCATTCCAACAAAGGGAAGAAGAAGAAGAGAAAGACAGAAGCACATTCCCAATTGTGTCAATTAATCTATCCACAAAG